GGAGGGGGGGAGGGGGCTGCCCCCTTCCAGTCACGGTACAGGACTTGTGTCTGCCCGCCCCGCCCCGCCCCGATAGCTTCGTGGAGGTCCTGCCGTCCAGTACAGTCCGACACGGGCTAGCACGGGGTGGCGGCCGAACGGGCTGTATACACTGCGAGCAACAAGATCAAACTGGAATTTCCGGTCATTATGGCGTGCCTTTTCATGCCTGACTACAAAAGTACCAAGAAAAGGCAGCTTAGGGTGATCCCTCTCTAAACGCCGGAATAATGAATGCCATTGCAATGATGAGATACCATGACAGAAGGTATGCAACCTGGCTTTAAAAAGAGTTAAGGGGCTCAGAGTAAAATATCATCTAGTTGTTTTAGTGGAGATAGTACCTACACCACTATTCGGTTAAAAATATTAATGCGGTAGCAAACTTTTTTGAATGGGAACCATACGTGCAACACTCAAATCAATGTCACCAATTAACCTGTCGAGGAGGGCATTAGTGATGGTAACACAATAACACAATAACCAGATCCAACAACTTTTACTTCTCGTATATGAATTATTTTTGACTTGGAATTGGAATGTAAATTTAAAAACTAACGATGGATAGTAGTAATATTTGCTGGAATGCTTTTGAATGGACATTTGAATGGAAATCAAAGAGCTCAGAGTGCAGATAATACTTTGGAATGTAAATTTCATTTAAAATAGCACATTATTCTAACAAGTAAATAATCGAGAAATTCAAAATTTGTTGGACAAAAAGGTTTTGTGAGAAGCATACCAATACAGATCACTTACCTGAAGTGCTGTGTCAAACTACAGTCTATGAAGACGCGGACGACTGCGGAAAGGCAAAGAACATCGTTCGAATCCGCAAAAGAGGATGACATCGAACTCTGCATATGATTCAGACACACCAAATGGACCGGATGACTTGGAGCTGTTATAACCTCAATCAGGTGTGCACAGCCGACAGCAGTCTCTCAACACTTCGATAGCGCGAACCACGAAACATGACACAAACACCACAAAACTTTTGACAGTTAGGTACGGAAGTAAACGTCGACGTACATTCACGCGATTCACGCTTTTACGATACATTTCTCGAGCAGCGACCCCGGTTGTCGGCTTCGGACGCGACTGATCTGATCTTGTCGTTGTTTTGCCTTCGCTGCCTGGCGCCCGTCGTGTTTTTCAACTAGAGCCCTGCCGAGAGGCTTCTCTGTATGGCAAATTCTTAGATCCGGCTGGGAGCCTGGGGTGCGATGATCGGAGAGCTCACGGTGAGCTCACTTGAAAAACGTTGTCAGAACGTTACCACCCCCACCCTATTTTGTGCGGTTTAGAAGGTGGCCTAGAAAGCGCAACCCGTGAGTTCACGGTCAGCTCACCGTGAGCTCTCCAATCACACCCCTGCGGAGGGGGACTCAGCAGCAATCTTCAACCGCGGTTTTCGGTTGAAAATTAACTATTATTACTATTTTTCATCACGGCCAGTGTGTTTCCAAGGTGATGTTTTGATGTTACTGCGGGGGATACACAGCCGGGGGAGGGTGAGTCTGTGGGCGCGGGGCCCTTCTGCTGGAGCTGCGCGGAGCTGGAGGCTGACGTTCTCGTCCGGAGGATTGGTGATCGTGTCGGGATAAGGCCGCCGTAGATCCAACGCGATCCAAATACGAGCCCGGCCGGGGCTTGACGGGCCCCCCCCCCCCCAGCCGGCCTCCAGCAGGGCTCCGGGGGCACCCGCACTCACGGGGGCGCCGTCACTCACGCAGTTCGATCTATCGATCTCGACGCGCACCGCACGCCGGCTATCGAGTTTCCTTGGCGACGTAACAAAAGCCGTGGGGTCCGACCTGAAACCGTTTGGCCGCGACCTCGTGTTTCTGAAAGGGACGTTCGTCGGCCCGTACCCAAAACTAGCGAGTAATTTTTCCCACAAACTAGCCTACAAGCACATCACAGACGACTGCAATTCTGGACCTCTTTCACTCTTACTGTTGTGTGCGAAAAGACTAAACTTTCAAAATCAAGAAAGCTGCGCGCTCTTTCTTTCAGTGTGGTCGAGGATGGTGTTCGAAAGATGAGGGGGAGGAGGAGGGAGGAGCGACGCTGGGGCGCCAGCAGTCTGCTCCCTGGTGCCGCGTCCCCCGGCCTGCGGGGCGCATCGTGTGTGTGTGTGTGTGTGTGTATGTGTGTGTGTGTGTGCGCGTGTAGGCGGGGCTCCAATACAACAAAGATGCGGGTCGGGTCGGCGGAGGAGCAGAACAACCAGGCGTCCATGTTGGTACAGAACCCTCCCCCCAGCCTCCCCTCCTCCCCTCTCCCCGCTATCGCCCCCGCTGGGATCCTTTCCGCTTGTCCGACCCTTAGCCAACCGCCCGGCCCGGAGGGCCTCCCCTTTCCCTCCCTGTCCCCTCCCTCGATACTTTCATCTAGCTCAGCCTGTTCAACATCCTGCCTATCTCGAGATTCACCAAGCGGAGAGGGAGGCAGGGGCGAGGCGGGGCGAGGAGACGAGACTGCTACTTTGCGATTCACGGAGGGATGGGGCGAGAGAAAGCGATACAGGAAGGGGAGTGGCAGGAGGAGGATGGGGACGGGGATAGCGCGGGTGGATGAGGACGAGAGAGGGCGGGGGGAGTGTTTTTGGAGGGGTAGAAGTGATAGAGAGGAGGACAGAGCAGTTATTCGCTGCGCGGACGAGGAAGAGGACGAGTATGGGGTACCTATTCCAGAGAATCCCGAGGCCGGATGTAACAAATAAAATAGTGAAATGGTGGAGTTAGGACGAAGGCACTCAACACGCAGCGTGCAGTGCGATAAGGGCGAGGGCAGAGAACGAGTAGTGCGATGGAGACACACACAAGCAGTCATGGGTCCAGGACGAGGCAGAGGACGGGGAAAAGGACGACGCGGGTATGCGAGGGAGTCCTCCGAGGGAGGCGATGGGGAGGACGACGGCCCCGCAGCTCGTCGATAAACCCGTAACGGCGCAGCTCGGCGTCAGTAATGCCGTAATTAGGGAGAAATTGATACAACAGAGTTTCGAACAAGAGAGGGGAGGAATTCGAGCAGAAGAGCGGGAGGAGAGGGGAACGGGGGCCTTCAAGTGCGTCCCAGCGGCAGTGGCAGCAACAACAACATCACTTTTAGAAGTTGCACGCAACTTTCGGCCAGGCTCGACAGCTCCGCGCGCGGGTGCCACCGTCAGCGGCAGTCGCCTCCACGCAGGAAGGGACGAGAAGGAAATGGTGAAAAACAGATGGAGACTAAGTTTTTGATTGAGAAGGCGAGCGGGGACAGGAAGTGGGGGAGGGGGGTATATGTGTGTTGCACACAGTTTTCAGCGACGCAGGGGTTCTTTATAACGACCGAAAACACGATCGGTATTCTTGCAGTGTATAGACTTGACTTCACACAGGTCGAAAACTCCGTCTGCAACATCTGGCTGGATGTGTGGCAATACCAAAGAAACGAATCCCCCTGTTTTGCTGAAGTGGAGTCGGCCGAAGCCGGAGGGTGTTCTTTGAAGCCGCCTCACCACCCCTGCCCGCTGGCTGCACCCGCCTCGCCAGCCCTCCAGCACCACCATCATCGGGAACCATCGGGAGCCATCGGGGATCCATTGGAGCAGCCATTTCTTCTCAATTCGGATCCACTCTCTTTGGCATTTATTTGGGGGGAAGGGGGGGGGGGTAGTGGTGGTTGAGGTGTCGATGCTGATGGCTGGAAAAGTTGTAGAATAGGTGTTATGTGCGTAACACCAAGATTTGATCTTTTTCCTTCTAGCAGTGTGCCTCGGCGACGAGGACGACGTCGACGCTGTCGTGGCAGGCGCGGGCGTCGCGCGCGCGCGCGCGCGCTGTCGAGCTCTGCGCTGTTGACGCCGCGGCCGCCACGGCGTCCGCTGGTTGGCATCACAGTGCCAGCTAAAAGCCCGCGCCGCACGCCGAACGGCGGCAGCAGCAGCACGGCAGCTAGGAGAGTGACTAATGATTTTCAACCCTTCGGTCCCGTCCCCGCCCGTCCCCGCCCGTCCCCGCCCGTCCCCGCCCGTCCCCGCCCGCTCGCACGCCGCCGCGCCGAGCCGCGGAGCCGCAATGCTATAAAAGCTGTCTGCCGCCGTCCTCGGCAACCCGCGGCCCGCGGAGGCAGGGGCGGATCCAGTGCTGGGGTTGTTCATTTCCTTTATTCAGGGGCCCTCGCCGAGATGACAGCGAAGCTGACAGAGCTGCGGGTGAGGACACTCTTTAAAAAAAACTTCACAAAATTTTGAAAGTGTTTACTAATATTTTTGCTACAAAATTTTAGTTTTGCAAGAGACATAAGTACTATGTATCCGGAATGCAAAACACAAAAATTGTATTTTTCACGGAATTTGCAGTTGCTTGCTGATCAGCCTGCAGTCGCCTCTACCGTAGGAGATTATGCAGCCGAAGCCTGATGATGGCGAGCCTAAATGAATGGCCCGACGTATGAAAGCTGATCGACCTGCTGGAGTGAGTCTTTGTCGCTGCTCCTCCACCAGGGGCTGCCGGGACTGTGAGTGAGACAAATAGACAGACTTGGCGCCGCCGGGCGGCATCCGCTCGCTTAACGATTTGGACTTTATTAACCACTAGGTCGTAGGGAATCACAACGTCGCTGATCTGTGAGAATATCACTAGTTGACAGTTTTAGCTTCAACTCGATAGCGCGCGGCTGAACTGCGTGCCTTACTTAGTCTGAGTTGTCGAACTCCCTCTTTTAAAGTATGCACAAGATTGCCATAGGATTGCCTGCATGGTAGAAACAATGTCTCATTTTTTTGAGGAAAAGGGGAAAACTTTGAGGAACTCCAGTGTTGGAGGAAAGAGTCCTCCAATCTCGCATCAGAAGGGAAAGGGCCTAGCGCGACACTCGGGCGCTCGGGTACACGGACACCATTCCAGCAGTGCCAAAGAAAATAGTTTTCTGGTCTCCGCTTGGCTCTATTTTAGTATCAAGAGTAAAAGCTAGCTGACACCTTAAAATTCCTTACATATTCTTTATGTTTAGTGAAAAGGTATCTAAGGTATCATCTGCTAAAAACATCGCAGATTGCGAGGGCAGGTCCAACAGGTGTACACCAGATTGAGTATGTGACCCGCTCGAGAACAACAAAACCGGGCAAAAGTCGGTGGCTTTCCATGCAGAAATAATTGAGAGTCACGGTTTCAGCAAGAACCAACCACACGAATACCTCTGGGATGGGCGGCATGTGGCACGTCGCTCTGTGCCCCTGGGCGGGGACGAGGTCGGCTGCAGTGCTTCTACCGGAGTGCGGTGCGACCGCGCGGGAACACTTTTATCTGCCTGTCCAGACGGAAAGTTGGCCCCTTGGGAGGCTTTTTTAAAGGAGGCGGAGAATTTTTGACGTCTTTACTCATCTTTGCCGACCTCAGAGTCTTTCCCATACTGCCGACAAACCGACGGTATCTTTGGAAATTGTCACAGGGGCAATGTTGACGACGTTCGTTTCTTTCATTGTTTAACTAAAACGTTACGGTTTGGCCAGTAATCTTTCTACTCTGTTATTATTGTGGCTACAATTTTCGTCGTTTCTCCCCATGTGATATGACCTATGGTAGGACTGGGTGCCTTGGTCCGAGCCGTCTTGGCTTCTCTCCCTCCCTCTCCTTTTTTTTGAAATTACTTTTGTTGTGTGGAATACGCGCGGGTTGCCTATGTGGCAGCGTGATTAATGGATCCGGGCGATGCGCCGCTACACACGGGCTGTGTGTGTGTGTGTGTGTGTGTGTGTGTGTGTGTGTGTGTGTGTGTG